TGATGGCCTGGCATGTAGGCATGAGAGGTGGACATGTTAGTTGCCTCCTGCCTACCATTGTGTAGCCTGTAAGTTTAGCTTGTTTTTGTTGATTTTCTACAGCAGTGGGGGTTTTGCGGGATGGTTTTCACACGGGGTGGTAGTAATTTTGAATTTTGTTGGACTAGGACTCTGGTGTCACAAACGTGGCTAGGCATGAAAAAGATTTTAACGTGATATATGGTTATGAGTCACAGGGATGTTATTGTTTCACACATATGACTCAGTTGAGTCATATGATTTGTTATGTGTGGGATGTGTGATGCTTTCGCACTTGGCTCAAATATGAGTCATGGGACGTGCACCTGGTGAATATGCCTTATGAGTGTGGCTTGCAGGTATACCTTGCATATATGATTTATGTTTTGCACATGATCTCGTTATGAGGTCATGGGTTTTCACGCATATGACTCAGTCGAGTCATATGACTCGTTTATTGCGTTATGATTGGTTTATGAGTTTTGCACATGACCTCGTTATGAGGTCATGGGTTTTGAGCATGTGACAATTTTGGTCACATAATTAGTTTGTTATGATTTGATTTCGCACATGTGACCACTTCAGATCACATGACTATGGGCGGGAAGACCACTATATAAGGAAGCCGGTACGGCCAAGGAAGATAGGTTCTTCATGCTTTGTTCTAAGTACCTTTCCTACTTATTACTTTAACCAATATAAAACATCTTTACGATCTTTATCTTTATTACAATGTTCTCATTACGCAAAGGGAAGCTTTTCATGAAGAAGAGTTAGAGAAAGATTACGATAGGTATTGCCGATAGAAGACAGAGGTCTGGTACTATTGGTAACGTAGGCAGAGGCCTAGTGCTATCGTAAGACTAAGAAAAGGAATATAAGAAAAAGAGAAGTATCATTCCCCATCGCCAAGAACTAACTATCCAAGGAGGGATCATTACATTACAAAGCGTCACCTAGTGTGACATCAAACAATACAAGATGGCATCCTTCAACACAGACAAGGAAGGAGATATCGACATTGATGATCAAAACCTCAACCTAGAGAGATTCAGCGACGCCCTAGATAACGTTTCAGCAGAGCGCTCGAGAGCAGTGAGCCCAATTACCTCAGAGAAAGGATTGCCAGTCGATAGCTCTCCTGCAGGAACTCCACAACCCATGAGAATGTCAGGATCAGCAGTACCTGGACTACAGGCCCCTGCTACTCCCACACCAGGCTCTAGCATACTTGGAATGACTGAGAACCAGTTTCAAGCATTTCCAGCAGCAACACGAAACACAGGCTAATGAAACATCCAACGACCGAAACTCAAAGAACCTGACACATACGAAGGAGCAGAAGACAAGCTGCGAATATTCTTGGCACAATGCGAAGAGTATTTTGCCATTAAGCGATATGGAGAATACCACGATGAGATCAAGATTCCATATGTAGAATCACTACTAAGAGGACCCGTGGGGCAAGGGATCATGCCCTTCCAAGATAGAAGAAAACAGAGGGAATGGGTCATGTACGAAGAGTTCAAAGCGACACTCTTCAATTAATTCGGGAATCCCAACGCCAAAGAGACAGCAAGACGAAAGCTGGAAAAACTCTAATAAGGAAAACAAACCTTTTTGGCATACTGGAATGAATGCCGACTATTGGAATACGAGGCCGAGTTTGATGATGCTACTCTCTACATCATCCTCCTGAGAAACTGCAGCGAGAGACTCCAAGAGGCATGTGGAATCTCCGACTTACGCTATACAATAGCAGAACGATTTGCAAGATGGGCAATCGATAAGAAAAGCAAACTAAATATGGTTCGAAGCAACTCGGAAAATACTATAGCATACAGGGTGGTCCAATCATCCAGGAATGTGGACGGAACCTTCAAAACGCAAGCAGCTCGAGGTGAAAGTCAAGCATTACCACCAGGCGAGCCAATGGAGTTGGTCAAATCAAGGGCAGGACCTGCTCTGAACCTGTATAAGGAAGAATATGCCAGAAGAATGAACGAGAAACTCTGCCTAAGGTATGGAAAAGTAGGACATTAGATTCGAGAATGCAGAAGCCTACCAGACAGTGGATACCAAGGAATCAGGTCTGCAAGAAACAACCACTTCCAAACTCAAAAGAGGAGCAACATTCGCGAAATGATTACAGAAGATTTACCAGCGGAAAACGACGAGGGTCCCCAGTAAACGGTTGTCTAGGAGACCCAAGATGTAGACCGGAGAAACCCATCAAGTGAGTGAACTACTACACCGTACTACACACACAAAGAGGAAAAGGAGAGGGAGATCATGTGATGATCAAGACAAAGATATACAACGAAGAAGACAAAGAAATAACAATATATGCAATGTTCGACTCTGAAGCTACTGAAGATTTCATCGACAAAGAAATCTGCGACAAATACGGCCTCAACACTAAACAAGCGAAGAAAGCGAGACAAGTCTACCTAGCGGATGGAAAGCCAAGTACAATGGGTCCTATAACCCATACAGTAACAGTACCTATAGATATTGACAGCCATAGGGAAACGGCAACCTTTCAGGGGGCAGACCTCCAGAATCATGTGATAGTCCTGAGGATGCCATGTTGCAGAAACATAATCCGACAATTGATTGGAATGAGAACAAGATGACCTTTACAAGCGAACTATGTACGATATGATGTCTCAACAGTTCACCTGTGGTCTACTCGACACCCATACGAGAAGTAGAGGAAGAAACTTTGCATGCAAACTTTGCCAAGATGTGGCAAGATACGAAAGTCCGGATACAAAGACTGGACCAAGAGGCAAAAGTGCCTACCAAGGGTTCTAAAGGGGCAGCAGGACACGACCTGTATACCAATGAAGGAATCAAGATACCTGCTAATGGGCAGGCAATGATAGTAACAGGAATAGCCATCAGACTACCAGAAGGCACCTATGGATGAATAGCACCCTGCAGTGGTCTAGCAGTCAAACATTGACTCATGACCATAGCAGGGGTGATCGACATCGACTATACAGGTGAAATCAAGGTGGTCCTGGCTAACCTGGCTCAAGAGGACTACGAAGTCCAAAAAGGCCATGGAATTGCACAGATGATCATCGAAAAAATCAACAAAGAGAATCTATACGAAGTAGATCAACTGGAAGAAACCACAAGAGGAGACAAGGGATTTGGAAGCAGGGACCAAAAGCAGCCCGATACAACAAAGAGAATTGAGATCAAAGAGATCACAGTACAAGCCTTTAGACAGAACTGTCGAAGAGGAGATACAACAGGAATTCTCAAATGGACATACAAAGATGAAAAAGCAGTTCTAGCAAAAATCAACATCAGCACGGAACTAGCAATCCAAGACAAAAAATACCAAAGCAAAAAGGGATGGAAAGAAATGATTCCAAATGAATATGATTGATTCAAAAACCTCTTCCAAGAAGAGGAAGCTACTGAGCTACCACCTCTAAGATCAGGAATCAATTATGAAATGCAGCTGGACAAAGACGAGAAAATTGGAAAAGCAAAAGAGATTCCCTACAAGAAGTTATACCCACTAGGAGAAGCGGAGCTCGAAGAACTTAGGAAGTACATCGAGCAAATCCAAAAGAGAGGGTGGATCAGAAACTCCTTCGCATCAGGAAGATCCCCAATACTATTCATCAAAAAGAAAGATGGGAAAATAAGACTCTGTGTGGACTACAGAGCCCTCAATTCAGTTACCAAGAAAGATCGATATCCACTACCCTTAATTGGAGAGGCATTGGACAGACTACGGTCAGCAAAATACTTCACCAAACTTGATATCAAGGATGCATACTACAATATACGCATCATGGCAGGAGACGAATGGAAAACTACATTCACCTCAAGATATAGAATATTCGAATACTTGATTATGCCTTTCGGGCTAATCAATGCACCGGCTTCATTCCAAAGGTGGATCAACAAGGTACCCAATAAGTACCTCAACATATGTTGTATCATATACTTGGACGATGTACTCATCTACTCGCAAAACATGCAACAATACCAGAAGGATATTAGCAATATCATGGCTGCAATATAAGGATCCGGAATGAAGATCAAACCAACAAAATGCGAATTCCACAAAGAGGAAACAGAATACCTCAGATTTATCATCAATCGAAGTGGGGTCAAGGTCGACCAAGTCAAAACAGCAGCAATATGGGATTGGACCAAACCGAACAGCAAAACAGAGGTTCAATGCTTTATGGGATTCTGCAACTTTTATCGAATGTTCATAGAGGGATTTAGCAGGCTTGCAAAATCACTCTATAACCTAACAAAGAAAGACATGAAATGGGAATGGGGAGAGAGAGAACAGAAAGCATATGATGCAATATGAACGCATCTAATATTGGCACCCATACTGGTTTATTTCGACCCAACCTGAAGAACAATGATCGAAACGGACGCCTCAAAATATGTGTGCTCAGGCATACTATCACAACAATGCGAAGACGGAAAATGGACGCCAGTATCTTACCGATCCAAGACAATGACACCCACGGAGTGCAACTTCAACATTGCGAACAAAGAAATATTAGCAATAGTTCAAGCATTAAAGGAATGGAGGAGATATGTTTTGAACAATAACCATCCAGTCCGAGTTCTAACCGACCATAAGAATCTGGTCCCGTTCATGACTACGAAAGAACTGAACGACCTCCAGATAAGGTAGAGGGAACACCTTAGCAAATACAACTTCAAAATCAAATACCGATCAGCCAAAGAGAGTAGAAAGCCAGATGCTCTGACAAGGATTGTAAGTGACAAACCAAAGAAGATGAAAGAATCAGACAAAAAACACCAACACTTTTACCAAAAACCTACTTCGAGGCAATGGAGATTATGCAATTCACCTCAACTGAGAAAAGGGAAATTGAGAACGCAAACGAAAGAGACAAAACAATTCAAGCAATAAGAGAAGCATTGAAGGAAGGAAAAAAGGAGATGAAAGGAATTGCTCTAGGTTTATGCCAATGGAAAGATGGAAATATTTAGTACGACGAAAAACAATGGA